ATCATGAATCTTTTTAGTAAATTAAATATGGTACTTGTTTACTGGGTTCTTTCTCGTTTCTCTGTTATAATATAAAATCATGTCACATCGATCGTTTTTTAATCAGAGCTGTACTCATTCACGGAAGAAGTAATTATAATGGGAACACGTGTATTATTACATTCTTAAATATAACTTCAAACGGATCCTCTTCCCTTAGGAGCACCTGTAAAGGCGTGTGTAACCTCTTATAAAGACCCTTATGAAGCACCTTACATATTTGACCGACTTCAAAAAAGACGGGAGTATATTCTATTACTCTTTTGTTCCAAAAATTTTTCATTCGCTTCCAATGTTACATGTACCACTCAACTGGCATTATCGATGAAATTTCCTTTGGTGTTGGATGAAAGAGACGATACCGGACGACAGAACAATGGAACCCTTTGTTTTCGTCTAAATAAGAGCGAGAAAAAGCCTTCGGGACCAAACAAGTTCGGTTTTATTCAAACTCGATATGAAACTTGAAAAGTGGCAGTGTTGGAGTATTCGAGAACCTACGATACAGGAGAAAACGTGGGGCAACGGTCGGCAACGATCTTAAAAGAATAAAAAAAAGAATTCGGTACCGATAGAATTCGGTATATCTAATATTGGTGGAATTCTGAATTCAAAGTGTGGCGCGAAAGCCATAGAGCTATAGAGCGGTGTTCGCTTGTTTTTGTATTTGGAATGGTCGTCAAAACTCGTTCATAAAGGACTTTACTTTGAACGTGGGGCAAATGGGACACGTGCGATTTTCGATTTGAATGTTTTTTTTTATTTTTAATCTGTGGAGGGTTTTCCGGTTCGCGCGTTTATCTGAACTGTTCGTTACATAGGGCTTAGTTTGTATAGTAATTTGCGTGTTGTGGTTTTATAAATGGGGTGGAAACTAGTTCTAATTTCTGTCTGTAAATGACAATTTAGAAATACTCAAATAATACTATATTTAGCTTATAATGTAATCTACAGAAGGCATAATATACGCTATAGAAATACTACGATACCTAGAAAAGATGTTTTCTAAGGATTTCAAACCTCGCATATGCTAATTAAATTACACAGGCTCGAACTCAGACGCAACACAATCACACAACGCTGCATAATATTTATAAAATTAAATATTAGAATATCTATTTTTATATCAGGAACATGTTGTATGACGTGATATCCGGATACGACGCGTGTATCCGGTACGGACGTGTCACTGGGAGCAAAGTTAGTGACGGCAACGTGGCAACACCGGACACTGCGTCACTTGCATGTCCGGCCATTGTATACGTAGGTAGGGGTGTAGGAGACGAGACAATCTGTGTTCGTTTATAATAAGTGTTAGAAAAATTAGTGTAGATAGTTTAGATACTGGTGGCGAGCTGTCGGTCAACGTGGAGGTCGCGCGCGCGCCTCAAAGAGCCATCAGACCACCACGGATGGGGACCAATAGGGCTGATGCCGGTACGGAGCCGCGGAAGACTTAACGGGTTGCCGGGGCTCCGGCTCGAAGTGCGGGAGCCGCTTGCAGTTTTAGATCATACCCAGGTTCAGGGCAAAGTCTTAAAAAATTCAGCAATTCATTTTGAACTCTTAAAATTCAGGAAATAAAAACAGGGTTCCATAAAAATTTTTGTCAGTTACGATGTTCATTCTCCTTTTCTAGTAAAAGCAAGATGACTTTGATACTCCAAAGCGTGTTTCTTGAACACGAGTAGAATTAGATCAGTCGTGATAAGAGCTGATAACAAGGTGATAAGGTATCGGCGTCTAGTATTGACATTGTGCGGTATCGATGATTCAATGATTATATTTGTGT